CTATCTGTGCTCTGCCCACCACGGGTATCGAAACCCAGTTTCTAACGTTGTAAGTCCACAGACATACCGCTGTGCCACTGGGGGGCAACTATTATGCATTAATCTGAACTGGGCTACATGTACTTATAACGTAAGGACAATATGCATCAGTCAGGACTGAACAAGATAAACTAAACTAGTTTAATGGTACAGTGTTGGTGATGAAACTAGCAGCATCTAGTGAAGTTGGGTACACTGCAATACCTCATGTGTCACTAATGCTTGAGTCAGTCCTTGGACTAAAATCACTCATTTATGATCATTCTGGATGTATTTTCCACATACTATTGTGGAAAACATGATACAAGAGTTTATAAATCATTTAGTATAGTTATTTTTTCTGCATATTGCTAAATAAATAATCTTATATACAGATTTATATACATAACACATGCTTAGATATTTTTTACCACCATTATACTGAACACAATAGTAGATTAATTATTTTTGACTTTCGTGTTGATTTGTATAGTAGTATAATAACGTATACATTAAATTCTCTGAAAATCAGGTTTCTTTAACACCTACAACAACTATTTAATATATTCAGCATATGAAAGGTAGTGAAATAATTACAGAAATTATGACACTTTCACAGCTTCATTCAGTTCAAATTTCTAATAAAAAGTAAAAATTTAATGTACTGTATCTAAAAGGGGATATTATGCAAAAATCAGCATTACTACTTCTCTGGCATCTTTTTTGCCCATCCATAAAGAAATATGATCAAGTAAAGTAAGGTTAAATGTAAATGAAGCAATAATGAGCAATAAATTAACTCTATCTAGAAAGGAGCTCAGTTCATTGCTGAATACTACGGTGCATAAAATAATTTTTATACTTCAGGCAATGACCAGGATATTAGGCTAATACTTCTATTCAAGAAATATCTAACTAGATGGAACAGTAACATAAGCATTTTGACATTCCCTGAAAAAATGTTCACTGCATTATTTTTCTTAATTTCTTTTTCAAGTAAATTGCTTCGTAGCCCAAAGGGGCCTAAGAGTTTCAATATCATACGCATAATGAAATTGGATAAAAAGGTAATATCTTTTACATTTTATTCCTATTTCTAAAGATTTTCACTGATACTACTTATCTGATATATAATTAATGTACATTTTGTACATTCTAACATTTCAACTTTAGCAAAAATCTAAGCTTGGAAATACTGTAGGTATTCTTTCTCTCTCTCTACCTCATTACATCTGGACAATATCAAAACTGATAAAACATTGCATTCAAATTTCTTAATGAAAATAATAAGTTAAGACCTTTGAGATGATAACCTGCTGTTTTAAGCAAAAACACGATACTTCAGTTTGGCATGACATTGAAACGGATATTTTGAAACTAAAAACTTCAATAATTAAAAAAATTCTACTTATGAATCAATCTTTTTTCAATTGGATATATCTTTATATTACACTACACAAAGAATTAAATCAGCTACTGGTTATAAAAGTTTATAAATGATAGTCTCCATAAGTTATTCACAATAACCAGTTATATATATTTTACACTACAATTCAGCAGCTATGGTACAAACACACCCAACAAAATGCACATTGCATCCATTTGCCTAGTTTTCCCACGGACATAGAGAGTCCAGGCGCATTTGATATTGTAGTGGTTTTTCTATGTACTCTATTTCTGTAGTAAAACTCTATCAGCAATCAGATCAAAATAAACTGACTTAGAGACAAAACTTCATTGTAGTTTTCTCCTAGTTAGTAAGCAGAAATTAAGGAAGATAAGAAAATACACAGAAACATTTTAGTTTTTTCACAATTGTTACTAAAATTAATTAAAGCTTACAAATGATTGAAAGTATAATCCTAAACTGATACCAAGTTTATCAAAATATTTATTCTAGACATTATATATTACCAACATCAAGATCGTTACAGACAAACTCACACTAAATGCAAACATTTCTTAAAAAAAACACAGATAAATTAGAATTTTAAAATCCATGTTCCTATACAGTGAAAATACATACCAACAAAGATTTTAAGCTCCTTAATTTCTGGTTCTTTAGGTATCTGTCCTACTGACTTGTACGATATGTTAGATTTTTTTAATCTATAAAACAAACAGAGAGATATGAAGTTGCATAGTTCTAAAAAACAATCATTTTTTAATGTTTACACAAAAGCAAAAAATGGCTAAAAAGACAACTGTGATAAAACAAGCTAATTTCAAAACATTTTGGGATTAAATAAAACTTCTTTTACAACCTATCTACATAATAAAATTTTACAAAGGGAAAAGGACTATGAAAAATTTCATAAGGTCTTATGATGTGAAGTAGATACTGTTTACTACTATCCTTGTTTAAATATTTATAGTTTAAGAACAGTTATACTTATTCACTTTTTATGTCTCATACTAAAATAATGAAGAACATGAAAGAAACTTACTTTTCTTCTTTATGAACTCCTTGTTGTTCTGCTAATCGGGCTCTAGCCTTTTCATTTAATATGTCAGCTAATTCCTTCTGGTGGTGTTTTCTCTTTTCCTCTGCAGATTGCTCAGTCTGTAATTCAATGGATTCCAAGCTGTGATTATAATCAGTCCTAAAAACTTTCATTCTTTTATGGAGGAAGGAGAAAGTATGACTAAATTTATAATACCTTAATTACCTTCCAAGCAAATTTGTTTCAAAAAACACTAAGCAAATCCAATGAACCAGCCTACATTACATACCATCTCGAAAAAAAAATCACATGCTTTATTAAAAGAAAAAATGAATAAAATGTTAGTTGTGTTTATTTATCAATACCATTATGTACAGAAATATTCCATTCTACTGATATTGCTCCATCAGTAATTCTAGTATTATTAAGTTACCACAACGTACTGACCTTCTTGAATTACATTACCTGTCTTCAGAAAAGTCATTCCATACCTTTTATACCAGCTTCAATATAACTAATTTACTCTAAAACATCACTAAATGCAAATTTAACAAATACTTTTACATTAAAACAATCTCTTAAAAAAATCACATACACTCACTTCCCCTATACAAATTATTCTTCAGAAGCAGATACATAATTATCCACAATGAATATCTGACATACATACAAAATATACACATTTTATTACTTAATGCAGACTTTCCATAAATAATTATAAAATGTTTTAATAATGAATTTATTTAACTTAAAATGAAAAACTATAAAATAATAGATATCTGACATATCGTTGAAACAAGGTGGAGAATATTTCTGCCATAATTTGAGTAACTAAAAAATTTGAATAAACTGAGTTATATCCTGAGAAATCTACAATGACCATACTTTTGTATTAATTCTAGTTTTTCCCCAACTTAAGCTTCCGCATCGTTCTATACAGCATTAAATTTTCTGAATAATGAAAAAGTATTAAAGATCAAGGTAGCTTCCAACTTGTTGTCTTGCTTTCTAGTAAGATGTTCTAATCATTTTAAGTTATTAGGCCCAAATGAATTGAAAATTAAAGTTAGGATGATTTAAAGCAGTGGCTCTTAACCTTTTGGGAAGCCACAGCAATTCGGTTTACAGAATATGTCCTTGCACCCCTTATCTTTCAGGATTTGTTGATAATTCTCTCTTACGTTTAATTATATATTATCTATAACCAATAGAAAGTCAATATTTCCATCTATCAAACAACGTATTATACTACATTGTGTTCTGAACAGATAAATGTCAATTTCAGATATAACAGAAGCTTCATTCCCATGGGAATTTTAACAACATGCTTAGGAAAACTTGTAACGGCTATTCTCACATAGTTACGGTTGAAAAGTATAGAAAGTTTGCTATTAATTTATCTCAGGAGTCTGAGGGAGAAACCCTATTTGTAATGGAAACGCCAACATGTTTCACACCCCCAAAAATTACATTTTCCATTCCTAAGGGGTGCGTGCACCACAGGTTAAGAAACACTGATTTAAAGGGTGCCAAGATAAGGTCCAAGTTTGTATCTTACTCTGTCTCAGTATTCATCAAAAAATCTACTCAAATCCCTACTTACAGACACTACTTAAACCACCATTTACTATTTATTGCTTCAGATAGTCTAAAAAGGTTTATTTCCTTATATTAAAACTTTAACCTATCATTAGCTATTCTATTTTACTTAATTTTATAGAAAAGCTGACCAAAACTAACAAAACAGAGGGCATGTAATCCCCACATTTTACATTTAAAATATTGTAGATTTTTTATACAATCAGCTACTTGATATAAATTACATGCAACTATAATCAATCATAGGATTACTGTGTTGAGCTGCTACGTACACAGTTTTACAGATTCAGGTGAAGAATGCTCATGAAGAAAAGTTCAGAAAAAGTCCATAATGTTATTTCATAATCCCCATTTATCCTGTTTACATTATATATGACCCCTTTCATTATACAACAATAATTTGTATATAACCACATATTACACTCCTATTTACATTATGTTATACAACCCAACTGGTCTTAAACACATTTAACTATCCATAATAAAATTATATCTGCTAGATAACAATGGTCATCTACCCTCTGAAAGAGTAAAAAATTGATATAACAACATCCTCAAATAATTTCAACCAACCTTTTGTGTCACTTAATAATCAAGACTACCTCTATAAATACATCACTTTTATATATTCGACTTCATAAAATTTCACAAACCCTGAGTTTTGAGTCCAAGACAGCATTTCTTCTTGATCTACCTAAAATCTTGTCATTGTCATTGATGGTTGTCTGTTCTTCTTCCTCCTCTTCCTCATCATCCTGCATTGACACAATAAATATATTTTAATCACATCATCTAGTTTTTTAAACGTGTTTATAATTGTAAAAAAAATGTCAAAGTAGTTCATGTCACATAAATTTCTTCGGAATAGTTCATGAACAAATTTTGATACACGTATCAACATGTTTTAACACTATATAAATTATTTTACAGCAACATTATTTTTCAACAATGTCAGTTAGCTCAAGAAATCATTAGGCTTACTAATTCATCAAGTGGAAAATGAACTTTTATAATAAATATTAGAAACACAGTAATGTCAAAAAACTCTTTAATAACAAACATTTTGCAGTTGTTTGAAATTCCACCAGCAGTATTAAAACCTCAAAAGTTAATCCACAACATTCTAACTACAAAAAACATTTGCTATTAATTGCTAAATTTTTGATGCAAACAAAAACTTAGAACACAGATTTAAAAAGTAACAATATAGCAGAAGGTACAATAAAACATACAGCAGACATGTTTAATAATATTGTTAAGAGAAAACACTGTAAAGAAAGGTTAAAGTTTAAGTATATACCACTGAATCTTTAAAAAGAATTAATTAAAAAACAAAAACTAGAAATTATTAAATCAATGACAACACAGATGAGTTGATGATATTATATGGTGTTGGGTGATCATTGAAAATGTAAAGGTTTTCCAATATTTATAATGAAACATTATGGCTTAGTTTTGTAAATTGCAGTAACTTTTCTGTCTATCCTCATTAAAATTAAATCAAAAACAAATAATAAGTTTCTAAAAATTACAATAATTGCCTTATGTGTTGAATACAATATTTATGACAATTATGAATTCTTTGAGTGAATAAAATAAGAGTAAATAATGCATGTAAAGCTAGTCACAGAATGCATCATCTTTAAAACAAGCATGTGCAAACTGTTAAGTAAGGTCAAGATATATGGAAGTATTACACAACTGGATAGTATATAAATAGCTGTCATTTAGTGACATTTATTTTCGATACAAATATGACATTGACCAATAAATAAACTTAGGTACTAAAATATTTAATGGTAATTATGTTTAAGTTTGAAGTGACGAAGTTGCAAATATGGTGACATACGAGTTAAAATTTGATCAATACTATGTGCCATTGGTTTAAATCAAACAAGCAGTTGTGAATAGAATGGACTCTATTGTAAAGTGAGTAGCATGCATATGTATGATTTGATTTGTTTTAAGTATCACACAAAGCTATACAAGAGCTATCTGCACTATCCATCCCAAATTTAGCAGTGATAGGACAGAGGGAAGGCAGTTGGTCAACAACACCCACCATCAACTCTTGGGCTACTCTTTTGCCATTGAATAGTAGGATTGATCTTCACATTATAATACCCCACAGCTAAATGGGTGGTGATGGAGATTCGAACCCATGACCGTCAGGTTGCTAGTTGAGTGCTCTAACCATGATGCGATGCCATGCAGTATATGCACGAAGATACATATTAAGTTTAGTATTGTTTTAACAAAGACTGTTCTTTATATATATATAAGGATGGTATAAAAACTTTTATTACTGGAATACATAAGAAACAGAACTTACTTTCAAAAAGATAGCTATATTTTTCAGTTTCTTCTTGCTGTTAGTTAACAGTGTTGCAGGCTGGCCCTGTTAAACCATCAATTTTTAGTATGATTTAAACAATAAATCATCAACATTCACACAAGTAAACTAAAGATTTTGTTGTAAATAAAACCAACATCTAATCCATTTAGAATATTGGGAATTAAATTTATAAATTCACCACACTTCATTTGGTCTTTTAACAAAAATGTCCACATTTCCAGTAATGTTACCATATAAAAAAAATTACATTCAAAATTTTTTATCCAGAAAAAAACAGTTCAAAATTACAATACTTTTACCATATTTAATTGTTTATTAACATAGTTTTAACACAGAAATTCATATAATTTAAAACTGTTAATCATGTACCAATAACTGTTATTTTAGAGAAGAAATGTACAAAATAAACACACCTCATTCACAACAACTGTATCACCCACAAAGACGGCATATGTTTTAAACTGAGCATCACTAGTTCCTTTATTTTCTAGTCCAGAAAACCCAATGGTCACACTGAACACCATTCCTTCAAAAGAAAAAGAAACTTCTAATTAACAATTTATATAACCTGTAACTTCTTCACAGAAAACCAAACTGTCTACTTCTCACAAAACAATACTTTTCCTGTATGATACAGCAGTATGAAAAATTAAATCTATGCTATTCCTAAAATAACACTTATTTTTATCAAATACACTTCACAGAACAATTAGTATATTCAAATTAATATAGTTATTTACCAATTCATCTTTGTGAAATACTGAAGTAAATCATAATTTTACAAATTTACATTTCTGAAGGTAACCCAATAACTACTGTTAATAAGGTTTTAACTATCTGAAAAAAATGCACTAAATACTACTGCCAAATGTTAGTATCTGAATTCATATTTTAAAGCACTGAATAAATACTACTCTTAAACATGTTTTTGTATTTACATGATAATCAAGTGCTCTGAGTTCGTTTCTCAGTAAAAAGTTACATAATGGACTATCTAAACCTTTGTCCATCATAGGGAATCGAACCCCAGGTTTTAGCATTTTAAGAACGTAAACTTACTGCTGACCCACCAGCAGATTACTCTAAGAATAGTACAGCTGGACATGCATTTTTTTTATAAGCAATCTGTCCAGATATCCAATATTTTAATACAACAGCTTAAGTCCTGTTCGTGATAAAAATGTGTATTAATCATAACGTATAAAGAATGACCAACCTTTTTTTGCAACTGCAGTGGTTTTTGATGTAATCACTAAAGAACTTTCCCTGAATTCAATACCCATACCAAACCTAGTAAAATAAACAATAAAATAAATACAATTTTACAAATATACATACAGTAAGTATGAGGAAATGTTCACAAAATTAGATTATCTATAATGTGCACAAAATGAAGAAAGAACCACACAAATTGCAGTCTTCAACCAAACCTACAATATGTACAAATGTAAACAAAATTAAGCATTTCATAAGACAAACATACAAATATGATTAGTGTTATATAAAATGAAAAAAGAAATCAACAATTCTTAACCTTTTCACTATGGCTGGGACGTATATTTCCCAGTGCTCTCACTCCTTCACACTAAGACTGGGATAAATAGTTCCTATTGTCATTCAAAATTGCCATGTGTGACGTATGGGAGTAAAATGAGTTGGAAAGGCATCCCACCTAATGTTAATATGTTTCCCTCAATGTTTTCCACTCAGCCCTGTGGTAACCAACAAGATGCCTAAGCTGCATGCTGCCATCACTAGAGTAGCGAGTAGTAACCTTAATTACTATGTCAATATGTTTGATGTGCTTCACTCAGATAGCTCAGAAGATAATTAAAATGAATCAAGTGGTGTTCAAATGCATGATGATGAAGAGGCAATGAGACAAGAGGATACTAGCTCTCCATCTAGTGATGATAGTCTATATGATGAACCTGGACCCAGCAAAGGAAGGTGCAAACAGCATCAACAATGGGAAACACTTTTCCCAGTCGCAATGCGAAAGGGTGGGAGCACTGGAAAATATATGTTCTAGCTGCAGTGAATGGGTTAAACAAAACCTACAAAAATATAGAAAAAGAATAATGCAAAACATATCTCAAACCAAACCTGCTAATACAAAATAAGATTAATACAACTTATTACAACAGTGGTGTGTTGAACTAAATAACTATAGTGACATTTTAGTAACTTTGGATAAATTAGTCAAAACTATATAAAATAAAATACAAACCCAAAGTTTTTTGTCATTTTATCTACAAGATTCTTGTGTTTCTTTTCAACAAAATCCCTTGCATGATTGTAAACATCACACAAAGGGACTCCATGCTGAAGTTTATTGAGGATCTCTTCTTCAACAGTTACTGCAAAGTTGTACATATCCTGTTGTTCTTGGGTAGGGTTGACCAGTAAGGTTCTCACTATGTTGGAACAGTATGACTTGTAACGGGCACCAAGGGCACAGGTAATGGCTCCAAAATGGAGTGTGTTTTTGTCACTATATCATAAAAAAATTTCCAAGTTACAACAATCAGATTTTATTTGGGTTGTCAAAATTTCAACTACTATAAACCTAATACTCATGTGAAAGAATACACACAAAGCTGAAAGAGTGAAGTGTGTTTGGTATCATCACATCTCAAATGAAAGACCCTTAGGTTCTCAAGTTTGATAAGCTAACTACAAATCCACTGCTCAGTTCTTCATAGTCACTTCACCAGAAAACATTAAACTAAAGGCTGTAATTATACCACCCAATTGCATGATAACAAGTTAATAAAACAGTTTTAATACATTATCTCACCTGACAACACTAAACTTAAGATTGTAGTTGCCACCTGACTGGATAATAGCAGGATAACACAGGTCTACTTGAGTTAAGTCCACTCCTGTAACATATTTCTTGTCACTTATAGATTGCTCTACTCCTTCAGCTAACTTGGAATGTTTAACTTTCTGAAAAAAGAAAAAAAAATTGCTGTTGTATATGATATAATGCAGGTCTAATAATCAAAAGTTTTGTTAAAATTTACTTTATAATTTTATTACAGCAATTATATAATACAATCTGGCTATTGTATTGTACAAGTATTACCATAAATCACAGAAAAATGAAAAACAAAAACAATCCAGTATATTTGAACTATTTGGTTTCCTTCTTACTTGTTTCACCAAACAAGACATTATGGTTTTTGAGACACTGGGTGTTTAGCACTTATTCTATTACTAACTTCTAAATACGACTTAAAATGTTTTTATTAAAAAGGCCTAATGAACCACACTTCAGACATTAATTCATTATATATCTTCTACCTTTGTAGAAAACACACGTTTTACACTTGTTATACTATAGATAATCATAAACATTTTGGAGGAAATAATTCATAATATTTTTTTGCACGATTCTATATATTGTTTTAGGGATTCAAGATATTTTAAATGCACAATTCATTTAATGCAACACTATTTTTTTATGATTACATATTCTTCCTCCAAATCTAACATGAGAAATCATAATTTCATGAAATAATTGTACAAGTAAAAATATTAAATGTGTCACTTGGTCTTCAAAAATACTGCACCTCTATTCTTTTCCTATATATACCTTATAAGAATTCTGATAGTCTTTTAATTTAATATCTGTATAGCTGGTATAGTAAAAACATTAACATACAACTTTAACTTGTGAAGTTTAATAGCTTTGAAGACATTAATGTAAACAGTATGATTAATGTATGACAAACACTAGTAGCTATAATGAAAAAATTAGCACTATAAAACAGGTATTCATTTTAAACATAGTTAAGTTCTGTGGTTACAAGATGAGTGACAAGGATTTTTTTCCTAAACTTTAAAAAAAAAGTTTTTTCAAAAACAATTTAGAATTATCATAATCCAAGCTTGTATTTTACAATTATGTTACGAATCTAACAAATATATTGGTAATCACATGCACACATGAAGTTTAAAATAAAAGGCCGAATAGTCTTGGAGTACTTTGGAGTGAAAATTCCATCAAATAAATATCTGTTCCTACTTTACATGTTGTAAAGCAAAGTTGAACCCTTATGACTATTACTGCTTCAGTTTCAACTTTGTTTCTTGACCAATTACCCTCCATCTAATGCAGACCCCAAAAAATAAAACACATACACATGGGCCAGACCAGGACCAACAGAAACAATACACAGAGAATTACAAATATGACAATGAACTCTTGCATTCAGAAGGACTGGTTATGAATGAAAAGCAGACTTATGACTAGGAATTAAATAATAATTTTCAATTTCCTAAGTTAAGAGTATCAACGTGCACTTTACACAATCACATAATGTTTTATTCTTCAATTATAGGAAGAAACATTAGAGTGCTCAAAAAATGTAAAAGGGTACAGTCTATTGAATATATTTACTAGACAAGATACTGTTTAATCAATGTAATTAAATAATACATCTATATAAAACTTAAAAACGTTTAGAACTGATAGTTTCTTTTTCATTAGAATTTTAAAGGAAGTACTGCACTGCTTTAGAAGTCTAATATTTTGTTTCACTGGTAGCACTGAGGTAAATAACAGTTTGTTTGTTTTTGAATTTTGTGCAAAACTACATGAGGGCTATCTGTGCTAGCAATTCCTAATTTAGCAGTGTAAGACTAGAGGGAAGGCAGCTAGTCATCACCACCCACCGCTAACTCTTGGGCTACTGTTTTACCGACGAATAGTGAGATTGACCATCACATTATAACGCCCCCACGGCTGAAAGGGCGAGCATGTTTGGTGTGACAGGGATTCGAACCCACGACCCTCAGATTGCGAGTCGAGTGCCTTAACCACGTGACCATGCCGGGCCCAAATAACAGTCACAGAGTACAGAAACTACAAACAATGTTCAAGGAAAGAGTATCTGCATCAATCATAAAAAATTAATCCTACTTAATTAAACAGAGCCTAGTCTTAGTCACAAATCAATTCACAACTCATCAACTATTACAACCAATTCATCTTTAAATGAATACTCTAACATGAGACTGTATACAATACCTTGTCTGCATCAATAATCTCCATCAGCTGGTCCCTTAAGTATTTGGTATAGACATCAACTGTTACTTGGCAGGCTTTCTTGATAGTGGTTAACTCGGACTCTTCCTTGGGAGCCATAATATAGGCAATAGCCGAGCTAACATCAATCTATCAAACAAAATTTTAGTTCGTTAGTTGATAATCTCACAAACAATTATACAAGACATCAAATTAGCTAACCAGCCTATTATACATACTAATGAAGTATGGACAGAGAACTGGGTGATCATTTTCCAAAAAAGGAAGAAAATTAGAAATAAAAATGTTAAATTGAAATCAGATACATTACCAATCAACTTCTTGAGCCACTTGGCACAAGGGGAAAATAGCAACTAACAAACATGTTTTCAAATATATTCAAAACCATGATGGTCTAATGTATGTTATGGCTCATGAATACCCACTTTGAAATTTAGAGTTGTATCATATCATGTTTTTTTAGACAACCAATATATTTGTATTCTAGTCTTTGCTTATCAAGCATTTGAATTACAATATACATAACAAAACAGCAATTTTTACCTTTCTAGAAACTTTATATTAGAATATTTTAATTTTTTAGTGATATATAATCCCTACAGCCTTGCCATACAACAAGAATAAATGACTAAAGCTGTTTTTTCCTACATAAATGCAACTCAAAGTTAAAAGAATGTGAATACATTTAAACCAAGTTACATCACACAACTGATATACAACCATATAAAGAGAAGGGTTATAAATGTATTTTCTAATCATGGCCTAAATTTCATAACAATAAATTATACACCAAATCTCCTAATTTATATCAAAATTTTTAATTTAAAAAAAACCTTAAACTCATAGAATATGAAATAATTATTTTGACATAAAATCAAAGAAATCCATTTTCAAAGTTTATTTCTCCAACTAAAAAAAAAAATAGACATTTTGTGATCCTATACAAGTTTCCTTTTTACCAACTACTTCTGGATACTTAAAGTCAAGGTAATTCATTTTTTACTAATACAATGACAAAAACATATTAATATTAAGTTTTTCTTTCCAAATCTGTTAACTTACTTCACTATCACTTTATCAAAAATTCCTGGACATTTTACTCACAGAGTCAAACTTGGCTACTGCCAATGCAGCTCTCCAGGATTCCAGAAATTCTCCAGGAAACTTGTCTTTGGTAAACTCTCCTATCACAGAACCCTAAAAGAGTTTATAACATGAATATAGGAACTGTCTTTACAAAATTTTTTAAATCTAATTTTTTTTCACAAGCCCCTTTTTCAGAGTACTGAAGTCAGAGAGCTTAATATCCTGATTGATGAATACAAAATCCAAACAACCTGAACCAAAAAAAAGCCTGAAAATTTCAAAACCCAGTAACATCTCTAACAACACAGAAAATATAAACTGCCCAATGACTTTTAAATTTGAGTGGTTTATTTCCCTATAACAGAACATAGTACAGCTAACAATTAAAAGGAAACAGAAACCCTGTCTAAAATAAATGAGCTAGCTGTAAATAATATTTGATCCAGCAACCTAATATCTATGATGAAATCCAGTAAATGTTACTCAAAAAAATCCAAAGGAAGTAAACCTGTACTTTGCCATCAACAGTAGTAACAAAAAAACAATATAATTTTATTATTCTTTAGCATAAAGAAGTAAACATCAAATCAGGCAGATTAACATGGGAAACAGTACACTGGTATGAGTGAGGGAGAAAATAAAATTTTCAGAAAGTTCTGTAAATCAACAATAACGATTTATACAATAAACCACAAACATGGTTTCTTTTTCCCAACTTATTCCTATTCACATTATGCAATCATTCATCCCCACCATTAGGTGAGAAGGGTGTGCATGTTTGCATATAGAAAATGCAATATTTTAATATTATGTAGAATGCTTATTTGTAATAAGAAATATATCTTCCAAATATATATATATACACACACACACACACACACTTAATGTGTACATTTCAAACATTTGTTAAAATTAGAGCTGAAATGAATATCCAAGTAAGATTACTTTTTAACAAACAAATATTTCAACCAAAATTTGATATTCAAATATACAGTTTGGTTTCTTTTTAATATGTTATGTTTTCAAAGAATTTCCTTCATGTTGTAAACAACCTGGACATCACTTTCATTCTTGATTGCAAAGCACAAGCAAATTTCAACATTACAAACTATGAATTGATGTCTTCCTGTCTGTTAATCCATCATAATGTTAAATGGTGTCTTAATAAATGAAATCCACAAAAAGAAGCATGATATTTTCATTGTCTTTACTGTTGAATATTCAAATAGTAAAATCCAATATTTGTTTCAGCTCTAGTTAAAAATGACACTGCTGCTTTTACAACACTTCTTTGGATATGATGGAATTCTTTACATTTTAAAATCATCAACAAAGGATAAGGTTATGTCATCTTACAAGAAGTAAAAACCTTTTAGTTGTAAAATATTATTAACAGCTAAGAACATAGCCACATCATACATGATATGTACACAAGGAAGATGCCAAAACTGGACAAAATGTGTACTGCTAATCAATGTTTCCTCTAATTTTTTCAATCCATGTGCAGAATGAATTTTTTCATGTGCACCAGTATCAAGGCTATGTGCAAATGTATGCTACCAGTTTTTTTTTTGGAGGGAGGGCAGGGTATTTCTAGACCATTGACCCTATTGGATCATTAGGCCACTTTGCAATGCTACCAGCT